CAATCGCTAGAAGATGGTCACTTTACGTTCAGTGAATGTGACACATCTCCTACGAGGATGACGGTACGTCTTGCGACAGGCGCATCCGTAACCGTCATGAAGCGTATAGTGAAGATCCACTATACGCTAGAAGATACCCAATATGACGATGCCTTATCGTATTGGATTTGGATGACAAATTTGATGTCATCCTTGGAATACCGTGGCTCAGAAGGTACGAACCACGAGTAAACTGGCAACATCGAACAGTAACGATGCCTGCCGCTTGTTCATCAGATGGCCATCTGATGAACGTTTTGGAGCGTCCACAAGCGTGTGGATGTACTACGAGTGAGTGCGATGGCCTCACTTGTTGTACGGTCGTTAGTACGACTGCACAAAACCTTAGTGTAACAAACGGTTACACTTCGGAGCAAAGTTCCGGCGGCTGTGAGGAAACACAGGCTGCGCCGAAGGTCCACCACTCGAATAAGTCGGGTGGACTGGGACAAAGATGTATCCCTAGCGGGGAACATCTAGAAGAGAAATAATCGATCGCTCAGGTTAAGCGAAACGATAATCCTAGATCGACTGGAGAGTCTTTCATAGAGGATCTCGCTGTGGTTGCGCTACCCCAGCTAGAGGAAGTAAAGAGAATAAGTCCCGATATTACAAATACGGCGGAAATAAGTTCCCCGATACCCGCGGGAATAAGTCCCCGGGAAGCCGAAGGAATAAGTCCTTCGAAGCCTGGGGGGACAAGTCCCCAGGAAATGACAGAGACATTAAATGTCCTGGTCAATGACGGATTAAGCGTAGGCGCTTATACACTTGATCTGATTGCGCCTCCGAAGTTGACTTCGGAGATCACTCAGTTGCCAACGCTCGAACATAAAAGGTTCTTGCGTGATCTGCGTAGTGGCAAAGTCAAGCAGATCTGCGTACTCGTCGCTGACGACGAGTGTGTAACCGACATAAGGTCAGCAACAGTGTTTACAGAGAACGAGAGAGTTCTCAGTAGTTCATCTATGGACGAGAGTGTCATAGATGAAAAGACACGAGTTGAGCGATATGACTCCCAATCGTGAGAATCGCTCAAGACAAATTCTCTCTATGAAGATTTGGTTGAATTCAAGGATGTATTCCCTGAAACTGTTCTGTGCAAATTACCGAAGGATAAAGATATTCGACACGAGGTCGAGCTTAAACCAGGCTCGAAGTACTGTGCCATGAAGCAGTGGCCACTGCCTCGTGAACAAGTACTTGCGATCGACAAGTTCTTTGCCGATCGTTTAGCTGCGGACCATGTGAGGGAATCAACTTCCTCACATAGCTCTCCGACCTTCTGTGTGCGAAAAGCAACAGGAGGGTGGCGGATAGTGCATGCATTTAACAAGTTGAACGCTGCAATGGTACCGGCTCAGACGCCGATACCAAGGAAGGACGTAATCATTGATGGTATGTCAAAGAGTAACATCTTTTCGTCCATAGATTTGATGGATGGCTTCTATCAAATCCTTATGCGAGAACGGGATATACCCTACACCGCAGTGAGAATGCCTAGTGGCATGCTCTGGGAATGGCTAGTAATGCCACAAGGGCTTAGTAATGCCCCTGCCACGTTCAACAGATGTGTATCACATCTGTTGAGACCAGTACGAGAATTTGCGCCGACTTAGTTCGATGACGTATTCATCAATAGTCGGGCTATGGATGGAAAGTCGGACGTTGAGGTTCACAGGTACCACGTCCGACAGGTTCTTACAATCATGCGAAAGCATCATTTGCATGCAAACCTCTAGAAGTGCATATTTGCAGCAAGCGAAATACCACTTCTTGGGTGCATCGTTGGTAAGAACGGTGTACGTCCTGATCCCGAAAAGATCAAGGCGATCACCGACTGGCCTGTGCCGGTTGATGTCAAAGGTATTCGAAAATTCCTTGGGCTAGCGGCGTATTTGCATAAGTATTCACGCAATTACGCCGAGATGACTGTACACCTCTCTCGTTTAATGAAAAAGAACGAGAGGTGGTTATGGAACGCTGAATGTCAACGCTCCTTTGAGGGTATCAAGCAGAGCTTGATACAATCCCCAGTCCTAGCAATAGCCGATCAGGACAGGCCATTTCATGTGGTCTGTGATGCCAGCGATTTCGCAATCGGCTGTGCATTAATGCAGTACGACCTTGAAGGCGTTGAACGCGTCGTCTGCTATCAGTCGCGTCAGCTGCAACCAGCTGAGCGGAACTATCCAGTGCATGACAAGGAACTCCTTGCCATGAAGTATGCACTCGCGAAGTTCAGAGTCTATCTATTAGGAGATAGACCCTTCATTGTTTGCACTGACCATGCGTCATTACGTACGGCAGTGAACAGCCCGCACCTTTCACAACGAATGGCGCGGTGGTTGTCATTCTTTGCAGAATACAACTTTACGGTCGAGTACAAACCAGGACGACTTAATGTCGTCGCTGATGCGCTCTCACGTCGGCCCGACTTTGAACCAGTCGTGAAACCCAACAGTGAGACAGCCACTGTTGCGGTTTTGACGTCCTCAGTACCATCTTCAACGTTGCATGATGATGTGAGGCAGGCGTATGCCCAAGATGGTGAGATTGTGAAGTTGTTGACACATCTCTCACAGCCATCTCGAGAATCGTTGAAACGATTATCGTCTGCTTATCGATCTGCATCAGATCGATACACTACTCGCAACGGTTTACTGTATTATACAGCCGTTTCTGGTGACACACCACGTGTTGTCATTCCAGATGATACTGATCTGCGTTTGCGGATCATGTTCGAGTATCACGATGCTCCTATAGGAGAAAATCGTGGCCGGGAGAAAACAAATCTCATGGTGAGTCGAGACTTTTACTGACCCCGCCAGTATCAGTTTGTGCGCAAGTACGTTCGCGCATGCGAAGTCTGTTAACGAGTGAAGTCAAGTCCTTCACTGCGTGCACCTTTACAGCCTCTACCGGTTCCGGTTGAGTGCTGGGAATCCATCTCAATGGATTTTGTCTTCGGGCTACCCAAAGACGCACGCGGGAATACGGGTATTCTCGTATTTATTGACAGATTCAGCAAAATGGTACACCTCGTGGCTGTACCAGAGTCAATCACGGCAAGTGGCTGTGCTTGTGTCTTTTTTGACACCATCTTCCGACTTCATGGGTTGCCCCGTGTACTCGTATCAGACTGAGATACACGATTCACTGCTGATTTCTGGCGTTCCGTGTTCAAATCATTCGGAACGTGCTTGAAGATGTCAACATCTGATCATCCAGAGTCAGATGGTCAGACGGAACGTGCCATCGTGTCCTTGAAGAGATACTTCGAGGATACGTACACTCCTTTAAGAGTCGGAGTGAGTTCTTGCCAATGGTAGAGTTTGCCATTAACAACTCGGTGCATGCGTCCACGACACATACACCGTTTTACGTGAATGGCTTGCGCCATCCGCGTGTACCCACCTTACTTGAGTGTAACTCTGGTTTAAGGGGGGGGAATCGCGCGAGCAAAAACTGATTTGGTTCACGCTCATCACGCTCTGACGAAGAGGTCATTGCGTTTAATCTTGATATCGACAACATCGATATCGAAGATGATGCCAGTGAGAGCGAGGAAGCCCTCACTGAAGAAAAGATTGATTTTGCTGCAGTGCACCCACAGCGCACTGAATCTAACGAGTCATCAGATGAATTCATACTGGCTCGTGAAACGGTAGTCCGTTTTGTGCAAGATTCCATCGCCGAAGCGGTGGATAAGCAAAAGCAAAACGCAGACAAGAATGGTAGGGCAAACACTCTTTTATTTAATAAAGGTGGCTTAGTCCTACTGTCTACGGTTAATCTACCAAAGCATGTAGTGACTAACTTGGGTAGCAGTAAACTACTACCCAAGTAAATCGGCCCATTTCGTGTATTGCATTGCCTAGCAATGCATACACGATCGAGTTGCCACGTAAGATGCGAACGCATCCCACGTTTTACGTTGGTCGGCTTAAGCCGTACCATCAGTACGCTGCTTCTTCCGACGAAGAACGCCCTTGCGCTAAAGCATCTCGCAGAGAGCCTTGTGCTCCCGATTGTGGGCATCGCCAAGTGTCTGAAGAGCAGTTATCTCAGCCCGAGACCGCTCAACATCTTCACGAGCTACCCTTAGCTCGTCACGCAGAGACGTCAGAGCTCTCTCGTTCTCAAGCTGAGCAAAAGCAAACTCAGCTCGATGCTTCGAGACAGTGTCCGCCATTTGGAGACGCCTGTCCCGCTCGTGTTCGAGATCGTTGCGTAACCCTTGCGTTACGCGATCAAAGAAGTTCTCGGGAACACACCGATCCCCACGATCGTGTGAAGAGCGTCTTTCCTCCTCCTCCACCTCCATTAGAGGACTCTCGTGGTGGCCAGCGCTATCTGGTTGAGCAGCTGTTGAACCACCGCGACGTGAACGGACGTCGGACGAGTTATCTCGTCCGGTGGAGCGGCTATCCCCCGTCCCGGGATACTTGGGAGCTCCGCTCCCAACTGATGCTCGACGTACTGGGTCTGGTTGAGCAGTACGACGCGGCACATCCTGTGCCGCAGAAGGACCGCCGGAGATAGTCTTTCCGGCACGGTCGTAAAGGGATTTCAGGTTGTCAATCCCTTCGTACATCTCAGTAGAGATACGTACGCGCCACCACGGGCTATTAGGGTGGTAGGCCTCCTTAGGTGCGCGCGCAGAGTTGTTTACACAACATGGGCACGAGTCTCCCCAGGAGAGACAGGGTAATCCCTTCTCCCTAGGCAGACGATGCAGCTTCTAGCGTGCACCTGTCGGGTTTCTTTTCTCAAACTTATCACGAGCTTTGATAAGTTTGTCGTTCCAAACGTCACGACCTACATCTTCAAGGTTATGTATGTAAGCGTTCCACGCTTGAAGCAGTGAGGGACCATCACGCTTGTAATTCCCTCTGTACCATCGATGTCTAAAGAAAGCATCGATGAAGAATTCATTCTCAGCGCGATAGTTTTTCGCACTAGGGTTCAAGGTGATGGTTCCTTAAAGAATCGAACAATCGTGTTCGATAACGATCACTCGTCGTCGCCGACAAGTGATCCATGACTGATTTAGGAGGCATCCATGCCTTCTTCTCAGGAGCGAGACGCAAGACATTGCGGTCCCGCTCTTCCTGCGACGTGCCGACAGAAGAACTTGCACCTCGTTGCGAAGTGGTGTCCATAGGAGAACCGACACCACTGTTAGCGCCCGAGTCTCGCGACCTCGAGCGCCTTCGCTTCGGCGATGGTTCATCTGATTCATCAGATGAACCAGAGATGCTACGACGCAAAGCATCGTCCATGCCACGCTTGGCAGGCGGCTTGGTTTCAATCGCCGTCGATACGGATCCGTCTTCCGTATCAGGAGAGTATGAGACACCGAGATCATACTCTGTGAAGACATGAGTGTCTTCATGACCAGCACCTGCATCACCAAGTGACACAGGCTGAGTCGCTTCAGCAACCGATGAGACATCAGTTGCTGTGGTTTCTGCTTCGGCGTCCGCACAGAGACGTGCGGACGCGCTCTCGGCGGCCTTGCTCGCGCATCGCATGGGCTTGTTAACCATGCGATAAATTGTTGGAAAGTGGACTCGGACCAACAAGTGCAAACCCTGTCCCAAATGATTTGGAACGAGTATCCATTTCGTCAATCAGTTAATAAAGTGACTGATGGTTAAGGGGGGGTGATGTAACGGGGTGGATCGTTGCATAACAATTTATAAGAAATTGTTCATAGAATATAACTTTAAGAGTTATATTCTCAGAATATTGTCATAAGGACAAATATTCTGCAGCACTTACGAGTATTTCCTAATTGGTTGATATAGGCCATTATATCAATTAACGAAGACGCGCCACGACAGACGCACGCAATGAGTTGTGAGCAGATAGTTGTTATACACATTTGTATTTAGACATAGTTAGATGAAGATAAATAGTGATTTATTGCAGACTTTAACTATTATAAATACAGTTCTACTTTTTACTTTAACCAAGTACTCGCTTCTTCTTACCGTCTTCCTCTGCACGTGCCAGTGTACGTGAAGTTCCGAGGCACCACCTTATTCTGTCATCAGAATAAGTAGCTTGTACTGTCACCAGTACAAGCTTCAGGGTGCCCCGTTACACTCATTGTCCTCATCATTTATTGGAGACTTCAGTGAAGCAGACTCTTTTTATTCTTATATCAATTCAAGGCCATCCTTCGTACTGTATGCATGAGGTGGATCACCATGATCTGTCAATGACGCGACTGCTGAACTATCAGGCGGCGTTGTGACACAAGCATCGCGAGTCATCGTCGTTTCATCGCTACACACACGCTTAGTGATAGAAGATTTGGGCGTCTTTGTAGGCGACCCACCACCCACCTCACTTTTGATGAAACGAGAACGCCATGGGTTGCAGCTTAGAGAAACAGCTATAAAAACGTTGAATTTTAACATTTTTTGCAAAAACAACGAGTGAATAATTAACAAGCTGGTTTGTCAATACCGTCATTCCTTGGATAAATCATACTCATAACTTACATCTTATATAACTAATTTAATTGTGTTACACCTTGCTCGTTCTATGGTCGCTGACTCAGAACTCGTAACTCATGACAATTGAAAAATGTGTGACTTTCCCAAGGTATAAAAATATAAACACTAGCGCACTCACAGGCAGTTAAAACGAACAGATGGCAAGCGACACGACTTTGGCAGCACGCTGTCCAATGCTTCTCCTTCGTTACAAATTTTCTACAAAAATGGTTTGAAGGGGTAACGGGGCCGAGGTAACGGGGCCGAATCGCTATACAAGACTTTCTATACGGCACGGGTATCAGTGCGGTACGCATTGAGACAATTTATGCGGTTGGGGCACAGCAGTTGCTTACCCGCCACAAAGCGTGAGTCACACACGGATGACGTTACTATTTGGCGTCAACATTTAACGTCATTACATGATGTCATTGAAGCACGTCATCAACGCGCTTATGTTCGGTTCGAGCGTGCTGCAGAGACCGCGTCTCATCAGGGCGCAAGTCTAATCTTTTAACTTTTAGCCAGAAGTCATTTAGATTTATGTCGAATTGATTTCAAAAGAAATCAATCTTTCATTTGCAACCTATTTGTAATGTGCGTGCCGGAGGGCGGGAAACCGCATTCACGCCACAACTAACAACAAGAGTTCAGCTATCGGTGAGGCTGTCGTAAGACATTTAGCCGAACGTTTCTGCACGCGAAAGAAGTAAGTAAATCGCTTCCTCTGCAAGTTACTGACGGTTTGTAAGTAGTGTGTGGCAGCTTTAAGCGCCCGCCAAAAAATGTCTTAAGCGACATTCAAATAGCCTGGCAGCCCTATATTTAGTACCTAAACGTGTGTGTCATACTTATCGAGCTCATTGAGACAACGCCACATAGAAACTAGGTGACCTTGATGCCGTTAAGCACTTGGACAGGGTTTTGAAGCCAGAACTTGTCATAGTAAACATGTTGCGTCGCAATCTGGGTGCGGACAAGACAGATCATACGCGCTCAATTCCATTATACAAAAATTAGTTTCTTTTAAGCCGATATAGTATCCGCGCAACGGTCGAAAATGACGCCCGGATACGCCAGTGGTACCTCCACTATACCAAGCCTGCTCCTGTAAATCCACATAAAAATCAGGTTTCGAAGTGCACTTGGCCCAGTGTTGTTTCTCTGGTTGGCAGAGGCGGCTTTTTGTTATTTTCTTAATAAGTCGTCGCTGCGGTCTCCATCGTCTGGCCCTTTCCATAGTTGTAGTGCGCTAGTAAGTGCTAGATGAGCATCACAGTGAAGAATATATCCACTGCTTTGGGTTCAGATGCAACCAATCCAACATCGATTATTTGCGTTAACTCGCAGTCCATGCCTGTGTCAAAATGAGATAGCGTTGTACCGCCTATATGTAGTACCCAAACATTAAGTTGACGAACTGGTACCGAGAACGCTAGTAAATCTCCCGGTTATACCGCTCGATACAAATCCACAGGATGTACAGGAGGGCGAGGCAGGAGGACCCCGAGTGTCTACGCTTTGCTTCTAAATGAGTTGCCATAAAGAGCGTGGTCGAGATGCGAGTAATACTACGTTGAACTGTCTTCCAAGACAGAACTGTGAAAAGGTCCTCCTAGTGGCCACTTCCGTACCCTGCACCGACTAATCCCGAATCAAAATCGCTTTTGTGGTCGCACGCGCGGTAGTGGACCCTTCACTTGCTGGGATGGTCGTACTCATTGCCATGTCCATCTTATTGTCTTAAAGCTTAGACTACTGATCTTCATTGAATGCTCTCGTCAGTGTACTTTGATTTCGTGACCACATATCGCGATGTGCGGTCCAGATTTATATTGAGGAAGACCGTATTTGTGGACAAAATTTGATCATCCAGGCGGCATCGCTTATTGTGCGTGACAGGGGTGCCCTCGTTTGATATCTGATCCTTTTGATTCATTTTAAGAGCGCAGTCAGTTATAAACCTGGTGGTAGTGGCGGTATATGCAGTAGATCTTTTCGAATTTTATTCACTCTTTCACGAGTCGTGGCCAATGAAAAAGTGCGGTTACAATGAGCTGTCATGACGTCAGATGCGAAATAACCATTTTAAACATAAGGCTTTTGGTTAGGTGGGATTTGCCGATCGTTTGGCAGATGATAAAGCAAGATCAAATATACTACCTTGGAACGTACGTTTGGTAGATGCCGATCCAGCCATCTAATATGTTGTATCGTAAAATAATTTTAAAGCACATGTAAATAATGTTATGCTGTGGCAAGACTTTCAATTGGTTTGTATCACCCCACGGAAACTATTAATCGGTGGTAATATTATGTGTTACAGTATTCAGATTAGTCTGCAACAATACAGTATCAACGTACACACCCAACAATTGCCGAGCTAGTCGGCGAATTGGACCAATACGTCGGAATGCGACCTCTTCGCGGTTTTCTTCTTCGAGCTAAGTTGCGGAGTCCGCCTAACAATATCATCGATTCCAGTATTTTTAAAAGACTGCCTGAGCTCGACAGCCTCGTTTTATTAATTAAGCTGACTAGACGAGTTATGTTATTCTCGACTGAGAACCACCGGCTCGTCACTCAACAACGCTTTAGCGATACCATCTGTTGCGTTTGCCAGATTGTCACAATACAAGGTTTATGTGGTACCAGCTATTGGATTGACTGACTCGTTTCTCGGTGAGACTCTGTTTTCGCTGAATGGAATTAATGCCTTGACCATTTTAACTTAAACTGCTTGCGCTTCCATACAAAACTTCTATAAGCTATGCCTTTTTAGTTAGACGGGATGCATAACCTAAACTACGCAGGGACCCATCGAAAGAGTATACGCTTGTTCGGGAATTGAACGATCTACACTGTATTGGTTTATCACGTGTGCTATATCGTGGAGCAGTTTCATGTGGACCCCATAGTCCAACCATTTCTCCTATATAAATTTAAGTACATAGGATTAGGTTTAATGCACGGTCACAAAATTACTGAGTGAATGTGTCATGGTAACTGTTAGCACACTTTGTCCAATGCACGCTCTTTATCGAGACATTTTCGGTTTTTAAAGTTTGTGCATCGGGAGATAGTTTCGTTGTTAACCACACAGGACTATGTACGTCAAGAGAGCTGTGTTATATAAGTGTAGTACTGCTAAAAACTTGCTGACGAGGTGTTTTTGTTCTCGCGTGAAGCCCACAAACGATCCAGCTGGCAATTTTCGGTCACCCGGAAGTCGACGTTTATTTCTTAGCACTATTGTGTGCAACAATCGCGTTCTTAGTAGCTCTGATAACGTGATAAATCGAAAGGTCAGGGGATTTCGCGACAATTTTGGCAATAAAAGCAAACGCCGTAAGACTGGATCGTATGCTATAGGCTATGCGACAGCGATTGAAATCTGCTTAGGTGAAAGCAGATGTATTTTTGCACGGGGAAGATCTACCGATGTTTTAGCGCTGTGCAAGCACTGGCGTGACATCAGTGAACACAAAGCCTTGGATGTTAGCTTGAAAATGACTCCAGGACGTTGTGATGAAGTTATACATATGTTATCGGAGAGCAAACGATTGTTAAGATATCACTAAAGATGTGTATTTGCTCACGCCGCGGCTAGCTTAATTCATCGTTTTTCTCTTGGCCATTTTCCCGAGGCTGTTTAGGCTCTGCAACTTCATGAAACGACGGAGTGCCATGTTGTATATGTGACAAGGGTGTTCTCTTTTACATGATTAATATATTGTTTAATGACAAACGATCCACCGACTTCGACAAACTAATGCACATTTGTGATAATGGTGTCACCAAGCTTCCTGGTGAGACGTTTCCGATGTAGCTCTTGCCAATCACAATGAGTTTCGCAGGAAATTGTGGGTAAACCAAGCGTACAATTAAATAATGTAGACACCCGCTGGATAGGTTTATGTCGATATTACCTAATCGTTTTGAGGTCCGCTTACAGCAGCTGTATCGTCTAAAAAGACGCAATGCTGATGCAAATGAACCGTAATTTTATGGTACCATCATAAACAAGT